AGGATATGCTGAAGAAGTGTCGTTTTACCAGAGCCCTAAACGGTCAGCAACAATTCCATGATCAGGGATCAGGGAGGCTCACCAGGAACCCAGAAAGAAGTGTCACGGGAAGAGCCTTTGGAGGAATGCTGGGCTTCTTAGCACCCTTGCTCTTGTTTCCTTTCTTAACCTTGTTCTTAGCCATTTTGAACCCGAAAAAGACAGCGAAGAGCAGAAGAAATCCTGGTGGGATGTAAGAGAGAGAGTTGAAATGGGTGCAGAAAGGCAACCTTCTTGGAACGGTGGTATTTCTACTTGTTGTGACTTACACAATATTCTTGTTTACGATTGTGGTGCTCATCAAGGTATGAACCCTGAGACCATCAAGGTGATGCTATCGCGAATGTGAGTGCCTTGATGACAATTTACGTGACTCTATTGGCTACCGTTGAGGAACACGGCCACTGAGTTCGGGACTAATAGTGAAAAGGTTTAGTGGAATATGCAGCCAAAGATGGGGGATGCGGAGCCTCCAAAGGGGTTTGACAGCTTCTGTGACCATGAAGACAGAATCGCAAAGTGGCAAGCTTACGACTCCAGTACTTCTAAGTAAATGAGATCATGAACGAATCCTCAAGAAAGCCTGAGCCAATACTCACGAACCTTGACATGTTTCTGACCGAAAGTATGGCAAGACGCCACTGCTCATTGATGATGATTGTGGGATGGCTTGATGTACTTCACGACCAGGGTATCTAGTGCATTATCAATTACCACAAGGTCATTGGCTTAGCCAGTCTCTTTCTAACAATCATCGCAGACTAGGAAATGTCTAAGTGGCTTGAGATCAAAGATTGTCGGCATCATGACAACCTTGTTGGGTTTGTTGAGAACCTTGATGGCTTTCGTCATGATGCCTCGAATGATGCAATAGGAAACTGTGTCTTATTTTTCTGGTAGCAAATTCTTGAACGCTGCTCGGAAGACATTTAATGGCGAGGTTTGATCAGTGATGATTTGCAAGGGGATCTCCACGGTTCTTATATAGAATACTAAAGCTGTCAGGCTAGTGACCAAAGTTGATGTGTCTTGGCTATATCAATTGAGGTACAAGGACTTTGGCAAGACTTACCCTGGCAGTTGCCTATCCAAAGCCATCCATTATGCGACTGGGCATAGAGTTGCATTGATTGTTTTGCGGTGGCATCTGATCAAAGTATGGCCCTAGATCAATAGCGTGGACTGGCACTACACCGGACTTCAGCTGAATGGAATAATGAATACTCAAAACTTGGATGCCTCGAGTGGTTGCGGTCGTAAGCAGACCTTGGCTTTTGATCGACATAATCCAGATGCTGGTGGTATATCATGACTGCACCCTATTTTTGGGAGCATGCTCTTAGAAGCTGGTCACAAAAAGTCTGTTTTCGCGAACTGAAGCAGCCTGCTTTTTCGATTGCTCTAAATTTTATGAGCAAACCAAGTGTCGTCACAGTGCTGAGAATCAGTTTCTTCACGATGCTCAATCTTGTGACGAAGTCGCGACACTCTAGACAGGAGCTCAGTCGAATCCGATCTTTCGGCCGAGCAACTGGGGGCCGGCCCTAGGGAAGCCAGTGATGAATTAATAGTTTCAACTGCTCGCAAGATAGAGACGGCACACTATCGCCTAGCGTGACAGATATACAGCTATCGAGAGGTATGGACATGGTCTTTCAGCTTGTTTTCCGATAAGCGCAGACACTTCTGAGATTTTACGATGAGACTCCTGGTAAGCGTACTGCAACGACAGCCGCGCTGCCTGCTGAAGTCTCCCTGTGAGAAGCGCTAGCAGAATAAATCACGTACCGACTTCCTACTGCCGGCGCTGTTACTCCGTACAATTAAAGTAAAATATTGCATGCCGAGGTGAGTAATAAATTGATCTTCGTCGAGATAATCAATAAACGGCAAATCTTAGATCTGATTGAAGCGTAATTGCAGGCTTTCTGTCTCTGTTACGGGGCTCAAGCCTCGGGTTGCCTAAATTGGTGATGATCTGGATATTCCTATACCCGGTCGTTGTTAGACGGCTTGACCGTAAGAGCCATAGACCGTCACAAAGATGATAGCTAGTCTATCTTAAAATAATAAAAATTAATTATAACAAGTCGTATGCATATGATCTTCTTTGAATTCGATTAATTCAACACGCTGGTTGTGCTTTTTATATAGAATCTGCTGATATTCACATAACGAGGCCCATCTCAGCCGAGACCAACTGCCGCTGGATCGAGCCGCAGTGCCTCCCGTCTCCCAGGCCCGAAACCGAAAAAGACAACTCTCAACGCGGGGTCTCCGCAATCTCCACGCCGGCCCGATCGTTCTACCCAAGGTAAACGGTAAACGACCTCACTCACCTCAATTATAAGATCAATTCCAGCTTCAGGCTCTTCAGCTTGCCATCAATTCCTCTCCTTCACCTTCACATCTGCCTGTACCGTGCGTGTCACCCAGCAACCAGCAGAGCAACATCAACAAAGCAAAGGGGCAAAGAGTTACACCGACAGACACACAGAGACACAATACAATGGCAGACACAAAACCCGCTTATGCAGGCACACCCGCCAACGTCCCAGGCGCGAACGTCTTCGACTTCTTATTCAGCAATCCCTTCCAGAACGAGAATGACTTTACGCCTAGAGCGAGACGTGTGCCAAAGATCCATGATGATCAGCCCATTTTCGTTGACCACGCCAGCGGTACGTTGCACTCCCAAACCTAATCTCACCTCACCTCACTCAATCTTGCATGCATGCCCAAACTCAACATCATATCATGGCGACACGTACTGACTTATCTAGACCGTCCTCTCACTTTCTCACGCGTAAAACGCGATGCCCTCACTCTAGCATCAAACCTCCAGTCTCTCGGTCTCGATCCCAATGAAATCGAGACCCTGCCCCCAACAGCATCATGTTCTGGCCCAGAGGTCGCACCTGTGGTGCTTATCCAATTGCCTAACTGTTTGCCCTTTGCGACACTGGTGACGGGTGCCCTCGCGGCTGGCTTAACTACCACATTAGCATCGCCCTCACTTTCGGCTACTGAGCTCTCATGGGTCATTAAGAACTCGCGCCCCCGCGTGCTCTTCACAGCGAAAGCCTTCCTCATCACCGTCGAGAAAGCGCTTGAGCAGCAGGAAGACGAGGCGTACAAGAGAAGTGTGCGCGTCTACACAGTCGATGTGGCAAGGGATCTGTATCCTCTCTCACCGGCTTCTCACGCCGAGGATGGCGATTGGAAGAACCTCCTGATGCCAGCGAAGGCGCCTCTTACCGCCGGTCACCCGTTCTCACCAGAATCCGCCGCTACACGAACAGCAATCATTCTCTGGTCATCTGGTACATCCGGTCGGTCAAAGGGTGTTTTGCTATCCCATCAAGCCATCAACTTCTCAATCGCGTCGCTGTGGCATGATGCGGACTATTACGGGTTTCACCAGCGATGGCTAGGCTACGTGCCATTTTACCACGTCTTCGGTCTCACCAACACCTTCCTACTGGCTATCGCAACTGGATCTACGGTGTTTACCATGCCCGCATTCAAGCTCGATACTGTTTTGTCCGCGATCCCGCGCCGACAGATTACTTATCTTCACATGGCTCCTCCCGTGGCCGTGATGCTCGCCAAGTCACCCGTGGTAGAACCTTTCGCGCGACGCGACGCACGCGGTCGCAATGCTTTCAGCAGTGTTGTCGCGGGTGTAACAGGCGGTGCACCTCTCGGCCATGAAGTCGTAGAGAAGGTCTTTCAACGACTCGGCTTCCTCGTGAGGCTTGGCTACGGCATGTCGGAAGCGTGCAGTGTCACTCTACAAAGAGGTCTTAGAGAAGAGGACATGCACAGTTACAAGCACGATACAGGAAAGCCTCATTGGGGCGTTGAGCTCATGATCGCCGGTTCAGGTGAATTGAACTCTGATGATTCCACCACGAAGGCTGCGCCGTTCGGTGCTGAGGGTGAGATTCTCGTGAGATCACCTGGATTGATGAGTGCGTATGTCCCATCCCATGGACTGGGAAGTAAGGAAGCGCCCGATATGAGCGTCACAACAGAGGCCTTCACATCAGATGGATGGCTTCGAACCGGCGATGTCGGCCATCTCGACGAGGAGGGCACTCTCTGCATCACAGACCGCATCAAAGAAATGATCAAAGTGCGCGCTTACCAAGTCGCGCCCGCTGAATTGGAGGCTATCCTCTGCAGCAGCGATGACGTTGCTGACGCTGGCGTAATTGGCATACATGACAAGAATGAAGCGACAGAGTGGCCACGCGCTTACGTCGTCGCAGCAGACGAGAGCAAGTCAGAGGCCGAACTTCAAAAGCTGGCGCATGATCTCAAGGATTTGGTCGAGAGTCATTCAGCGCGGTACAAGTGGCTCGTTGGCGGAATTGTCTTCGTAAAAGCGATCCCCAAATCACCGAGTGGAAAGATTCTCCGGAGGGTTATTCGGGATGGCGGCATTCAGGGCTTGGAGGTCTCACTCTACCAGCGCAAGAAGCGAGACCACAAGCTGTAAGCTTTTGACTATACGACACTACGCATGTACTAAGAGCGCTTGTAAAACTCTTTTTTCCATCTAACATTTCTCTTTATGGAGTATCTTATTAATAAAACGGTAGTTTAGAACTTTAGATTGCAGGTCTCAGCTGTGTTTACACAAAGATTACTAAAACATGCATCGTGATTGGTCGGGCTTCTAAATACCCGTGATGGATTCGGGCTCGGACTTAGCCCTTTCGGACAAGGGAGCTCTTTTCGGTCTGTGCAAGGTGTGGAGAGACAAAGAGCGAGAGTGGTATAAGACCTGCTTGTAGAACGGCAGTGAATGGGAAAGTATACGATAGAAATCCCGTTTGCATTCAATTTGCTTATAAATTAAACCTGTCAATTAAACCTGTGGCGAACTGCTTTATAAGGCCATTTCTAATAACACCACCTCGCAAACAGCATCACGTCAATCTCAAAATAACACCATGACGCACATTACATCAGAATCTACTCCCCTCCTCCCAGAGCCTGCCACCGAGCGCTTAATTTCCTACCAAAGCTCCCATCCCGCCTACGATGCGCGGCCACTGCACCCCAACTACAGCAAGCATGAAGAATGCCATGTTGACTACAGCGACATCCTTCGCGACATCATCATTGGCTTCTCAGACGGTCTCACAGTACCCTTTGCCCTAACAGCAGGCCTGTCAAGTCTCGGCAGTGCCAAGGTCGTCATTATCGCTGGCCTAGCAGAGCTCTTCTCCGGCATGATCAGCATGGGTCTAGGCGCGTACCTCGCCGCCGTGACAGAGCGCGACGCGTATCATTCACAAGCTGGTAAAAAGGAATTCGCGGTTCAAAATAGACCTGGTGATGAGCGCACGGGTGTTTACGATGTTTTGGAAAAGTACAGCGTCTCGCGAACTGCCGCTGCACCTTTGGTCGACGAGCTCTGCAAGAACCCCACAG